GTTTATCACACGGTTTACCACTGGGCGCCTGAGGCTGGGCCTCCAGTATGGTGCGAAGCAGTGGAGAAGACAGTGAGAGGACAGTAGTGGCAATAATACACTCTGGTGGAATAATAGGAGATGTCACCTGTTCCGGAGCTGACTCATTATCAAATTGCCTGGACAAGGCATCAGCCTTGGTATTTTTAGAACCAGGTCTATAAGTAATGAGAAAGTTAAAACGTGAAAGGAATAGTGACCATCTAGCCTGTCTGGAAGACAAACGTTTGGCATCCCCTATATATGCCAGATTTTTGTGGTCGGTTATGATCAACAGGGGGTCCTTGGAACCCTCCAAAAGATGTCGCCACTCCTTGAGGGCAAGAATAATGGCCAACAGTTCTCTATTGACAATATCATAGTTGCGCTCAGCAGGAGACATCTTTCTGGAGAAGTAGCCACAAGGAGGCAATGGTGTTCCCTGGCTTTCTCTCTGAGTGAGAACAGCCCCTACCCCTGTCTCGGATGCATCAACCTCCAATATAAAAGGTTTACTAGTGTCGGGATGTTTTAGTATGTCCGCAGAGGCAAATCTTTGTTTAAGAGTCTCAAAAGCATTCACAGCCTCTTTGGACCATACTGTGCTACTAACCCCTTTGCGAGTCATATTTGTGATTGGGGCTATAACAGAAGAAAATCCCTTGATGAATCTTCTGTAATAGTTGGCAAAACCAATAAACCTTTGAATGGCTTTTAAACCAGAGGGTAATGGCCAGTGTAGTACAGCCTCTAGTTTTTTAGGATCCATTTGAAATCCCGATGCAGAGATGTTGTAACCCAAAAAGTGGACTTCAGGCTGGTCAAATATGCACTTTTCTAATTTACAATAAAGTTTATTTTTCAACAACGTCTGCAGAACCTGTTTCACATGGGAGTGGTGAGTTTGAAGATCAGGGGAATACACCAAAATATCGTCCAAATAAACCAAGACAAATGAGTAAATGAATTCCCTGAGTACATCATTTATAAAGTCTTGGAATACGGCCGGGGCGTTGCATAACCCAAATGGCATTACCAGATATTCATAGTGTCCACTACGGGTATTAAATGCCGTCTTCCACTCATGATTCTCTTTAATTCTAACCAAATTGTAAGCGCTCCTAAGGTCAAGCTTAGTAAATACTTTAGCTCCCTGAAGTCTATCGAACAATTCGGAAATGAGTGGGATAGGGTATGCATTTTTTACAGTGATTTTATTAAGTGCCCTGTAGTCTATGCAAGGGCGTAACTCACCACCCTTTTTCTCAACAAAAAAGAATCCTGCACCAGCTGGTGAGGATGACTTTCTTATGTGCCCTTTGCTCAAGGATTCTTTGATGTATTCCTCCATTATTTTAATCTCCTGGGGAGATAAGGCATAAACTGCCCCCTTAGTTGGCATAGCGCCTGGAAACAGGTTAATGGCACAGTCATATGCTCTGTGGGGAGGCAATACATCAGATTGAGCCTTGTTAAACACCTCCTGAAGATCTCAGTATTGTATGGGAAGTCCAGGAGTTTGGGGAGTGGTAATGGGAAGGTCAATAGTATCCAATCTCTTTAGTACTGGTTTTATACATCTCCCCATACACTCTTTACCCCATTCTAATATCTCCCCATTAGCCCAGTCAATATAGGGATTGTGCTTACTCAGCCACGGAAACCCTAATATGATAGGACATGATGGAGAAGTAATAACCTGAAACGTCATCTCCTCCCTATGGGAGGCCCCAATGGAGATCGTAATAGGGACAGTTTTGTGGGTTATAAGCGGTTGTGTGAGTGGTCTACCATCAATAGCCTCTACAGCTAGCGGCGTAGGTCTCTCCCTGACCGGTATCTCATTACCCCTAATAAACTGGACATCAATAACATTTCCAGCAGCACCTGAGTCCATTAGGGCACTGCAAGAAAACTTCTTGTTATCAAGGGAAATAGATACCTCAAGGAGGAATCTACTTTTGTTTTTGTTAGAGGACAACTCCATCACACCTAAGATCTGTCCCCTTAAGGTTCTTAGGTGCGGAAGTTTTCCGGACGCACTGGACAATTAGTTATCATATGTCCCTTTCTACCGCAATATAGGCATAACCCCTCCCTTCTCCTATACTGTTTTTCGGCCTCTGACAGTCTAGTGACCCCAACTGCATAGGTTCGGGTTCGGACTGTACAGGGAGGTTAGACAAAACAGGTTTAGAGAATTGAGGTGCTAGGGACATAGCCGTACGTCTGGTCTTGCTTCTGGTGACTTCTCTGAGTCTTAACCTATTATCAATATGCATGACAAACGTAATAAATTTGTTAAGACTCTTAGGTAATTCTTTAGCGGCTATCTCATCTAGTATAGTCTCTGAGAGACCCTTTTTGAATGCTGAGATTAACCCATTGTTAGTCCAGTCTACCTCGGAAGCTAAGGTACGGAATTCAATAGCATAATCCGAGATAGACCGGTTACCTTGTCTGATGTGCATTAGGGCAGTGGAGGCGTCATCCTCTCTACCCAATGGCTCAAACGTGAGCTTGAATTCGGCAAGGAATTCCTGGTAATTATGAGCTATGCTCCGATTACTCTCCCACAACGGATTAGCCCAGGCAAGGGCCTTGCCCTTTAATTGATTCATTAGATAACCAATTCTTGCTCTGTCCGTGGGGAATGACCCTGGTGAGGCCTCAAAATGGTACTCCACCTGATTAAGAAAACCCCTGCATTCCTGGATATTGCCATCAAACTGTAGGGATGGTGATAAGGAGATGCAAGGAGTCCTATTAACAGTGGGTGGAGGTACACAGGGTAGAGGTGCTATAGGAGGAGAAGCTGCAGGCTGCAGATGCTCCGTTCTAGCGAGAAGCGTACTTAAAGCCTGAGTGAATTGATCCATGCGGTGATCATTCTCCTCTAATTTCCTCTCGCAAGCAGCTATGTGCTGACACAGTTCTACAGGATCTATGGCCATGTCGTAATGTCAGGATTACTGTTTGATCCAGCACGTAGAACTGTACAGCACGGATGACAAATAAGTAACGTATTACCGGTCCTTAGAATGGCCGGATTTAACGTACAAAGAATAGTCAAAAATACTAGCCGAGGTCAGGGAACACAGAAAGGGACACAGCGATGAGGAAAGCCAGGAGTCAGGATACCAGAATATAGAGAAGTCAATAAACAAAGCCAAAGTCAAAAACCAGGTAGAAAACTATAAACAGGAACGCGCTCTCGGACAACCACAAGGGAAACCACGACAGGGCACTGAGCAGGCTGAGAACTGGGCCTAAATACCCCTCCTTTAGTTCTGATAGGCTGTAACCGGCCTTTGACCCCAAAGTCAGTTACCAGGTTTCATTTGCATAATTGCTGCTCAGCATTAACCCTTCTGTGGATTAGGTTGCTGCTCGGCACAACTTTTCCTGTGTGGACAGTAAATGTCATTAACCACTTTTCTATAAGCGGATGAATACATGAGACCAGGTTTCATTTGCACAATTACTGCTCAGCATTAAACCTTCTGTGGATTAGGTTGCTGCTCGGCACAACTTTTCCTGTGTGGACAGTAAATGTCATTAACCACATTTCTATAAGCGGATGAATATGTGACAACCACTTATCAAGAACCTCCCACTGCCCTATTAGTAAATTAAGTTAAGTCCGTGGGAGACATTTATTGTGGTGACATGCAGCTCAGATTAAAGATGACTGGTCTGTGGTAGGGAGAATGTACTCTGACCAAAGTTATCATGCCCATACATATAATTTCTGATAACCACCAAGGCCCACATGATTCACCACACATGTATCTTAGAGTAAAAAGAGAAACCCCCATTCGAGTTAGTTTCGACCCACACATATATATCGATGCCATTTGAGTACCAAGGGGGGTACCAAATGAGTTCAAGGCCAGAGATGAGGTGGCGGCAGGATTTGAATCCTTAATCCCACTCATCACCGCTAACAAGAATGTTAACTGGATCAATTATCTACTATAACCAGCAACGATTTGTCAATTATACTAGAGTTGCCCTTCAGGGCTTGGCAAAACAATTACAGACTACCTCCCAAAGGACATTTCAGAATCGAATGGCCTTAGACATGATCCTAGCAGAAAAGGAGGGCGTGTGTAAAATAATCCCCGATACTATGACATGCTGTACCTTCATCCCAGACAATACAGTAACTTTCCAAAACCTGTACATGGGGGTCATTGTTGTGTCCGTGAGACATCACAGCAGACGAATATGTGTATTTTATTACAGTAAATGCTAAGATTATTATGGAATTCACAGTTAAAATGCCAAGTAGAATGTGGAAAATAACAACATTTATTAATTATATATATATACATATATATATATATATATATATATACTATAATATACATAATATAAATAAGTGTGGGTGCACTTATTAT